CTTAGAGTAACCTGACTGACTTCCTGAAATATTATGAGGAAATGAGAGAACTGAAGGATTCTTAGGAGTATTTCCCCATCCTCACTCCAAGCTCTCACTTTCAGATGGTTTTGTTTGTTTGTTTGTTTGTTTGCTTGTTTTTGTGACAGGGTGGTCCTCTAGGAACTGTATGTGTACTAATTCTTGTTTTCTGTGTAACTCAGGAGTCATTAGGCTGAAGATAAAGGTATGGCAAGTTCACACCTGGTTTCCAAGGACACTTTATATGTAGGCTTCAGGATATTTGCACAGAAGGGATTTCATTGAAGGCTTCTAGAAAAAGAAGATTCATCCCTTGATGGGAGGATCATATATTTTAGAGGGCAAAGCTCAGGTCTGCTTCCTGAACCTCTCAAGGACCTCTAAGGCTTGGAGAGAATAAGAACCAGGATTGCAAATGTATCAGTTAGGGTGTTTTCAGCTGCAAATAATAGGACACCCAACTAAAAGGTGTGGTTTAAACAATCCAGATGTTTAAAATCTCACATAATAATTAAATATGTTTGGTACATAATGGGCTGTAGAAGCGTTAGCTGCTATTATTGCTGGTGGTAATAATAACTACCACAATCCTTGTAACAAGAAGGCAGGGAAGTTCCAAGGTCAGTGCAATAGTTCAGGGGCCCAGGTACTTTTCTTCTGTGTGCTCTGGCAATCACAATGCGACATTGATATCTCCCCTTCAGGACCCAAAAAAGGCTGCACTGGCTCCAGAGGTCACATGAAGACACATCATATTCAGAAAACTAAAAAAGGGATACTTCTACTTTTCTACGAAGAGAAGTATTTTGCCAAAACCCTTACAGACATCTCTTTGGGTTACACTAGTCAATATTGAGTCACTTGCCTATGTGTTAGTTGTTAGGAGGCTGGAAAAAGAGTAACTGACATTCTAGTACTAGAAGTGCTTGCCCAATAAGGCAAGGAAAAAGGTGGCTCCTGGGAGGACAAACAATTGTGTCACCACTCTTATTATTAGGCTAGTTCTCCCTCAAGACACTGCTCAGAAAGAATGGAGAGCTATCAGTCCCATAACACTGGGCCTTTCTCTGAAGTAAGGAATTCCTAAGCGAGAAAAAAATGCTATTAGACAGCTTGAGGTTGGCATAAGAAGCTTTTATATTTTGGAGTCAGTCTTTTCCTTTCTGTCTTTGTTAGGAAAAGGCATTAGGAGCCTGAATAAGGGGGTGTCACCTACTCCTTTAGCAAGAAATCAGCATAATGAGAAGGAGGCCTCCTTGGGAAATGGCAACTTCTGTGATGGAATTTTCTAGAAACAGAGCAGACCACTTGCAGCTCAGCATCTACTGGAGACTGCCCCATGGACATCCATGAGGCCAGGGTAGGGCAGCCAGACTCCAGGGAAGAGGAGCTCAGCAGGAAGTCACTGTCACTGGAGGACAGGGAATGGTCAACATCCAGCAGCTGTGTGAAGGGACCTTATGAAAAGAGAGGCTAATACCACTGCCTTTGATGCCCTCTTGCCTGGGAAGCTCTAATGTTTAGAAGGGCCGACAGTATATGAAAGAGATAAAAAAAAAAATACATCAGTCTCTAGGAGAAAATGTGGAAATGATGGGATATAGAGGCCATCTAGTTCAGACAGGTTATTTTGAGGAAACAGACATTGGGGGTTGGATTCTTATGGCTCCAAAGTCAAATGCCATTCTAGTGTATTTGTCCCAACACTCACCCTTTAGGGGGGTTTATTAGGGATTTGCCTACATGCAGATGGAGCATACTGAGGGAATCTGGACTCCGGGTGACCCAGGCAAGCAGTCAACTGGATGTTAGCCACAGGGCCAACTATCAGAAGGTAGGAGGGCTCAGTCACCAAGCTGGCAGGCATCAGAGAACAGGGCCCCTGGTTAAGAACTGGTATCAGACGGATTATACCTCAAATCTTCCTTACCATTTGTAGGAACTCTGGTTGATTATTTAGCCTATCTAAGACTCAGTATCCTTCCATACATACAAAAAGAAATTGATGATGACACCTTCTTAGAGGGTTCATGTGAGGATCAAACAAATTAATACGTGTGCATTTCTTAGAACAGTAACTTGCATATATAAATATTAGTGACTCTATTATTGGAGAGCACGTGAAGAACAGGTCTATATCCAGTCTGAAATCAAACAGTGAGTAACTATCTTGATTGTGGTAAGAATTCAGTGCAAATGGGGAGGAGCTGACAAAGGGAATTTGGGGGTATGACATTTTTTACCCAGGATATAAATTATTTTTTATTGCATTACCTGGGCTCTCATAAGGCTACTTCCCTATGTTGGGAATGAAGGTCAAACCTCTATGCAACAAGTTGGAACATCTCTGAGCTGTGCAAAGAATAGGCTAGATCATTTGCAGTGTTAATCACAACTCCTGCCAACATGAACAGAGCCAAAGCCTGTGTGCTATTTAAACTCCCTTATGTTACCTCGAAGGACCACACCTACATAATGTCAGTGTGCACATGGTGATGAGGACAACATGAATATCTTTGCAACCCGAGAATACCTGAACAATTAGACCTCCCAGAGAAGGAATGAAGCTCATGAACTGTGAATGGCTTGGGATCCTAGGTGATTCTGAATCCTAGATACCTTGTCATGCCCTCAGCCTCAGGAGTTCATGGAGTTGACTAGTATAATGAGTCAGCATTTTACTACCTCTCCTTGTGCCTCTTCTCTGGCTACAAACTACCTATGTCATCTGGTTCCCTTTTACTCATCACTTGGGTTTGTTCATGACTTCTGCTTACTCCACAATTTGTTTTTCATGGTCTTTCATAGCCCTTCTGTTCTGTGGCTTAACTGCCTTCACTCTCTACATTTCTTTTCAGAAATTCTGATTTGTCCAGTTTAATCCCCATTGTTCTAGTGAACAAAGCTGTTGCTTTGAATGACAACATGGATGACCTCACGGTTTATGGATTGTCCTTGGACCCATGTCCACATCTGCTCTAATCAGCTATTGCTAAGAAGACGAGGTCACAGTGGTGCCAACAGGAACATATTTTCTTAAAGCACTGCCTAGAACCTTTCTTCAGCAAAGAAAGAAGTGGCCCTCTGTAAAAGGACCCGTGACTCTGCAGGCATTCTGAAGTTTGGAATACTCCACAGCAGGTATCTCAAACTGTGAACTGAGTAGGAAAAAAAAAATAATCTAGAACCTTCAAACTCAAAAAAGTTTTGAGTTTTAATAAAGAAAGACTCTGGTACTTGTATGGCCACGAAAGGACAGTCAGAGGGCCAGGAACACAATGACCAGAGAATAACCAAGTCAAGTCACCTAGGATACTAGGAGGGAGAAAAGCCATACTTTGGTACCAACTCTATGTTATAATAAAGACCTTTGGTGGCTCAATATAGCATGCTGATACTTCTATTGTTGTGATGGTAAATACTGTAGTTATAATTTAGAAAATTATTATTATTGAGTTGTTTGGGTTTTTCATACATTAAAATTTTTTTCATTTTTCATGCTTTAAGAGTCATTGTGAAAATTACCGCCTGTTTTACTAATGCTAAGGGATGAGCCAATGTAAGGCGGCGGGGGGGGGGGGGGTACATGCCCAGTGTGAGAGCCACAGAGAAGTGAATCTCAGGACCTGAGTCTCTCGCCCTAGATTTTGTTGTAAGGAACTCTTATCTGTTCTGGTTTTTGTTTTACACAGAGAAAAGTAGCCTAAGGAGGGATGATAGCTAAGTGTAGTGTGGTATCCTGGATAGGATCCTGTAATGGAAACAGGCATTAGAGAAAAACTAAATAAATCTGACTAAATCATGGACTTTAGTTCATAATGTATCAATATTGGTTCTTTAATTATAACAAATGTACCATATTAATGTAAGATGTTAATAATAGGGGAAACCTGTTGTGGAGGTGGGAAGGAGAGGCAATGGGAACTCCTGTACTGGCTTCTCCATTTTCCTGCAATTCCAAAACTACTCTAAAAAGTAAAGCCAAAAAAAAAAATCACTCCAATACATAATTTAGACACTTATCCAGTCCACTTGAATGGCAAGTTATTTGGAACACTGCAAATAACCCATACTCCTGCATAAGAATAAAAAATGAATTATGCCACTGGAAGAAGCTTATTAGAGAGAATGTTAAAATCGTCATTTGTTGGTCCACGATTTGACCTTGTCAGAAATTGCATATCCAAACTGTCATTCTTTACTCTCCAAAATGCAACTTTAAATTCCTAGCAGAAAAACTTACCCGGAAGAAGCAGCATGCTGTGGTTCTAATGCTAGGACTCTGAGCCTCAAATCTTCACATGATGGGATACTTGACTTAAAAAAATGAGAGTCGAAAAGTGCCAAACAGGTGGTACTTGACAGAGGGCTGGAACAGAACAGTGAGTTCCTCATAATGAGAAAGCTTCTAACAGGAGCCATTTCAGACATAATCAGCTCAGGAAAGAAACTCAGCAGAACAGAATGAACGTTCTAATTCAATTTATATTATTATATTGATGATGCATTTGTATGGCGCTTCTTTCGCCAAGGCTGTCACGCACATTAGGCTAAGTTCTGCACAACAAAATTCAGAATATTGAAAAGGAGAGCTGCACTGTAAAATTCCTCACTTTCAAAAGTCTTTGAGGAAATGCACAAAACCCCATTTGGGGGGTATATATGACTTAGGAATTACAGCTGCCTTGGGAGAGACATTTGTCCAGATTTTACTTTTCTTTTTTTTTTTTCCAACTGGTTCTCGAAAGGGAACCACCACTCTGGTTTCCCAGTCTAGGTGGCCAAAGATGGAAAAGTAGAAGCTGGGTTTGGTGTTGGCCATGCAGGAGAGCCTCTTGCAGAAGTTGTGGGGGGTGAGGAAGTGACAGAAGCAGCTCCTTCAGAGTCCTTTTCTGCTGACCCACCAGGCTGTTTCTTTGGAGTAGGCCTTGCTGTCCTCATTGAGGTTATCACGATGACCAGAAACTCACTCCAACCCATCCAGGTAAAAGTGGTTTTTATTTAAAAAATAAAACAGACGATTTCATATATGTTCTAAAGGCCAGAAATAAAATATAGTCAGATCACACAGGGAGAGAAGTAAATGGGAGGTTTGATAATGAGGTTACCCCTTCCATTCCTCAGCAGGCCCCCCAGTCTCAGCTCTGCTCCCCTCTGGCATCTGCCTCTGCCTCTGCCCCTGCTCCCTCTCTGCGGGCTGGCTTTCAGGGCTTATTCAGGGCATCTGTGTTCCCCCATAGTTCAGTCTGCAGGTGCCTTTGTCTTGTCACAGTGCCAACTCTGGATCTCGCTCTGTGTGACCTTCAGTGTAGCCACTCATCGTCGGTTTCTGCCTTTCAGTGTCTCAATTCCAGATCTCCAGGAGGAATGCCTAGGACGGATGGGGTCCTGTGACATATAGTATGCCTACTAGTTCTTAAAAGGGAACTGCCACTCAAGTCTTCCAGGGGCTGAGGGTAAGAAGAAAGAGAGTGGGGTCTCTAAGAAAGGCATGTGAGAAGTGAGGAAGTGATTGACTTACCAATGCCTCTGTCTCCCCTTTAAAACTTAATTTATATTATTATACCAATAATTTGTATTCTTTATAGAAAAACAGAAAATTAAAATAAGCAAACATATTTTTTAAATACCTGTAATCCCAAACATGATGGCTGTAAACAATCTGGCACCTTCGTAAGTTTTTAAATTCTGTGTTTATATGCTTGAATCCATATGCATGCTAATATTTTTTTTAATTTTTTATTTTAAAAAAAATTTTTTTTTCAACGTTTGTTTATTCTTGGGACAGAGAGAGACAGAGCATGAACGGGGGAGGAGCAGAGAGAGAAGGAGACACAGAATCGGAAACAGGCTCCAGGCTCTGAGCCATCAGCCCAGAGCCTGACGCGGGGCTCGAACTCCCGGACAGCGAGATCGTGACCTGGATGAAGTCGGACGCTTAACCGACTGCGCCACCCAGGCGCCCCTGCATGCTAACATTTTTAACAAAAACAGGATCGTTTTAGATACCACTTTAAAATCTTCTTTACTTAAAAATATATGTGAATGTATTGGATATAAATCCATGTCCATGAATATAAATCAGTGACCTTTTTTAAAAGATTTTGTTGTCAAGTAAAGTCTACACCCAATATGGGGCTTGAACTCACAATCTTGAGATCAAGAGCCACAAGTTCCACTGACCTAGCCAGCCACACCCCTAATGCAAATGTAATTTCTAACTGTTGCATAATATTCATTTTATAGACGTGCCTCAATTCAACCAGGCACCTCTTGTTGATTTTTAATTTGTTTCAGTTTATTTCTTGTTATTTATAAAAAGACTCCAATCAACATCTTAATGTACATACATCTGTAGAATCTCCTGAAACTTTCCTTAATATAAAATAGTTCGGGGCGCCTGGGTGGCTCAGTCGGTTAAGCGTCCGACTTCGGCTCAGGTCATTATCTCACGGTTCCTGAGTTTGAGCCCCGCGTGGGGCTCTGTGCTGACAGCTCAGAACCTGGAGCCTGCTTCACATTCTGTGTCTCCCTCTCTCTCTCTCTGCCCCTTCCCTGCTCATGCTGTGTCTCTCTCTGTCTCAAAAATAAATAAACATTAAAAAAAATTTTTTTAATATAAAATAGTTCAAGTGTATTTGCTTGGTTAGAAGGCATGAGACAAATGACCAGAGTACTTTGCACAAATGTGGATCGCATATACATTTCCATGGTACTATATCTCTACGATGTGTCAGTTTCTCCATATCCTGGATACTATCATTCTCTTTAAACTACCTCAGTTTCTCCTTAACTGGCTTATTTTCTCCTAATTTGCCATCCCTGTGGCAACTCGGGCTAAAGTCATATGGGTTATAGCTCCCTTTAGACCACATACTGCATCTGTGACTCTCCGCGACCAGATGTTTCATTTGAGAGAGCATTATTTTCAGTCTGACCTTTTTCTTCCTCACTGTCTCTGTAACTTGCTAAAATATTTGTATTGAGCATCTGTTTTGCCTCTACCAGCTGGGATGAGTCCAGAAGTGTAGCTTTCCTTCTCTATTTAAAGCTATCAAATATACCATTACCAGGTTTAGCCCAAAGAGTTTACTGAATATTCGTCTTTGGTCAAATAATGCAGACATATCTGCTGAATGAAATTGACTGTCTAGTAAATTATCTGAGGGCCTTATACTGAATCAGGCTTTGCCATAATGGTTTCTGCTTTTTGTTTAGGGAAACATTTATTCATTCACCTATCCATTTGTTTATTTGTTTACCTATCTATATACCAGGGAGTGTCCCTTGACTCTCCTGGATGAGATATTTTGATACAGTTATCCTTAGATAGAACTTTTAATATTAAGGAGTTTACCAACAAGGACAAATGAGAAAAGTAGGCATTCATGTAACAAATTTAGCCATTTGATCTATGACAAAGCATTTTAATGATTTTTTAAATAAAAACAAAGTGTTTATTGTAGGAATTTCCTCAAATATATGAAAGCAAAAAAAAAATCAAACAAAAATCACCTGTAATTATATAACCCGCAGGTAATCAACAGGAACAACACATTTATTTCTATTGTTTGAATCTTTATCTTCAACATAATCCAAAATAATAGCCATGAAAGAACCACTTCCAAAAGGGGCTTCGGGATGCAAGTGAAAACATCTTTAAACTGGTTGTTTATATAAAATGAATGTTAATTAATCACTAGGAGGGAAGAACAGTGGACCTCTGAGCAGTGTTTAAAAGGAGACACAGAGGGAGAGCATAGGGAGAAAGGAAAAGGAAAGAACGTAAGAGAGCCAGGAGAACTGGAGAGGAAATAAACTGAGAAAATTACATACAAAAGAATGGAAATCACTGGTGGTTGGTAAAAGCAAAGAGAAGAATATAGGAGAAGAGGAGACAAGGGGCCAGCGTCAGAGTAGATCTACTTGTTAATCAGGACGCTTTTAAAGGTTGCAAGAGGGAACAACTCATTGTGAAGCAGGATGCACAAAAGGGACTGGGGATTATTTGGATACATACTAGGTAGGGTGTTTCTAGTAACTAAAGGAAAGACTGAACAAATCCATGCATGGTTAGGCTGTGCCTCACGAACTGTGGGAACCAGGGACTCACAAACTACTAAAAATTTTTTAGTGCATCTCTTGTCTTTGCTTTTCTCTGTGTATCACATGTACCATATCTTACTGGAGACCGTCTGGCACCATGTGATAGAAAACATAACTGCCAACAGTTGGCAAGCTTCCTACCCCAGGCCTCCCACAACCTGAAAGGGACTTAGTCTCGCTCTTCAATTCCAGGAAAATCTCAGGAATTACTTTGATTTGCCCACTTTGCATAATTTGTGCACACCTCAAGCAATCACCACTGGCGAGATAGCTGATATCAAGTAAGAACATGGTGACTCCCTCCCGCATGTTTAGAGTGAAAGAAAAAGTAGTTCCGAGACTGAGACTGTTTCCAGAAAGCCCTGGACAGACAAACTACAGATGTTCACTACTGATCTCAAAGCAGCATGATTCCAAACCATTTGGAAGAAATTTGAGCAATAACAACAGATCATTTCAGCTTCCTGTCTCCCTAGAAAGTATAAAACAAGCAGACTTCTCCATGGGTCACTGTCTCCATCATGCATGTTTGGTTTGGGGATTCCATTCAGCTCCTGGAGTATCTTCCACAATGATGACACAGTCCCAAGGAGTATTGAGTACCCAGAAAGACAGATTCCTCTAAGGCCAATGTAAGCATTTTCTTATTCAAAAGTCTTTTACAAATCTCAGATTTTGAAAACTGAGCCTCTAGTATTATAGTTTATGAGCAAGCCAGATTAGGAAAGGCCATCTATGAGGCATGGAGGAAAGGGAGAGGGCAGCACCTTTGTGGAGTAGAAACTCCCTTCTGTTGCACAGTTAATACCAAAGACCAACAGAGTTACTCACGGACAGATGGAAGAATGGGTAGGGAGTCAGGACGACATTGGAGAGAAGGGAACTGGCCTATGAGCTGGTCTTAACTCTGGAACAAGAAGCCCTGGCTTTTAGTGGAATGGTTGCAGAAGCATTTCATTTACTCTCAGAAAATACCATGCACTCAAACCTTTTTCGTTTTTCTCAATGTCAGACTAGTCATCTTGGTTTTCCGTTCATGTACCTAATATTCTTTCAGTGAATGAAGAGAGATTTTGCTTCAAGGATATTCCAACTGTGTCATCCAACTTTTAGAAGACAAATCATCATTCTAGTCCATCCGTCCTGCTGGATTATAAGTTTCATGAGAGCAAGGTACCCATCATAGTTTTAGACCGTTCTCTCTCCCTTTTTGAGACTCTTAGTGAAGTATGGCTAGTAGGGCTCAGTAAATATGTACTAAATTGAATTGATAGATAATCATAAAATACTTGGGCCTAAAAATGATGCCTACAATTAAAGAAGGCTTACGACACATTCTGTAAATAAGGTTTTTGCTAATCCACCCTTTAATTTACCTTTTAAATCTTAGTCAATCCACGTCAACCCGTATTTATTGAGTGGCCTACTTTCTACAACTCATTATGCTATGCACCCACTACATAGGTTCAGTAAAATTCTCACTACAGCTTTGAAAAGATGGATTCTCATAAAGAAAAGTTAGATTGCCATAGGAAAAAAAAAAAGAGGCAAGCTAAAACTTAACCACTATTTGCTCTCAAGCTGTGGGGGATGAAACTGACAGCTTCAGGCTGGCTACAGATCCCAGCCCCCTTAAGCAACCCTTGCGGCATCAAGAAACACAACAGGCTAAACCCAATATTTGGCTGCTGCTGCTGCTGCTGCTGCTGCTGCTGCTGCTGCTGCTGTTTTAAGAACAAGCAGTATGAGTCAGAAGGGCCATTTTTTTTTCTCCAGTGTGTTCTCCAGAGAAGGGCATGGAGAGTTACTCCATTTGAAGAGTCACAATTAACGTGGAGCCATTGCCATATGTTAACTAGATTATTCAGGAACCATTTTGCAGACCACTTAAAACTCCAATGTGCTTAATTGCACATTTGGACAGTTCACAGCATGGTCTAGTTTTGTGTGTGTGTTTGTGTGTGTGTGTGTGTGTGTGTGTGTGTGTGTGTGTGTGAGTGAGTCCCTTTTTGTGAGTTTAAATGTTCTTTCTTCATTTGGCAAAAGCAAGCTCTATTTTGTTTTGTTTTGTCTTTAACTCAGTGTCATATGTGTTGCCCAAGAGGGGATCCTTTCCCTTAGCGCCAGATGTGATACTCCCAAGGTTGAAAAAACTTCAGGGAAAAGGTAGCAAAGCCAATCCAAACATAAAGCCTAAACTTCCCAGGTCATCCACCTCCAGAAATGCCATGAGATTGAATGTTTGCTTCTTAGTCATCCTGGAAATAAGTAGGTATGACACAAGCTATGACATTAAGGGAAGATACAATAGTCAATAGACCTGTCACATGCCTTTCATCAGCCA